AAAATCCAGGGATGAAGTGGAAGGAAGCACATAGGAAAGCAACAAGGCAGCCACAGCTTTTTATCAGCTGGAACAGATCGTACAGGTGAAAAGGGAAAGTCACATTTCTGCAGGCTGGAGGGACGTACATTTAAAATGCATCTCACCTATAGAATAAAATAGAATATAGAACCTATATGGACACAACAAAGCATTTAGGTAGCCACATCAGGTCCAGGAGCTAACCTAACTTTAAAATGATGTGCACTATTCTTGACTTTTTTTTTTTTTTTTTAGGAAAATAAACATAAGTGTTCAAAACCACCACTACTAAGTATTATGGGTCATCCTTCATTTCAGCCCTGCTTAAGGCACCGAGTAATGACTGAGGATGCAATCCCACAGCTCGCAGAATCACACCACCCTTCTAAGCAAGGTCCCTCATCACTGCCTCCCTGGGCTTTGCAGCCTTTGAGCCACTGCTTTCTCTCGGCTCACCTTCATGTAGGACCCCCACGTGAAGTGCGAGCACCCACGGGTCCCCAGGAAGGCCAGCGTGCAGCAGCCACGAGACACACCTCCTCCCACCCGCGGGAGAGGAGCCTCCATCCTCTGTTTGTTTCCATCATCTCCCAGTTGTATCACCCACAGGGATCCCACCACAGCCACCTGTGGGAATGTGTTTCCCTGGGAGGGGGAACAGGGAGAGCAGTTCAGGTGCTAAAAGCCCCTTGCTGACCCTGAAAGCAAGTCCTTGCAGGCCGTCAGAAGCATCATGCCTAGAAGAACCACTTGTCCTATGGATCTGCCCCCCAAAACCTACAAGGGCCCAGCAGCCCCCATCCTCCCTGCTCCCCAAAAGCAGGGGACGAGGCCAGGGCTCACCTTGATGCTGCTGAGGTGCCCGGCCCACATCCCAAGCGCTCACCCTGCAGGCCCAAAGGTGACGCTGTGCTTACAGAGATGCCTTTTCCCTTGAGTTTCTTTTTTTTTTTCCTTTAATCTCAAATCTTCACCCACACAAATAACCCCCCAGATGCCTTGCATCTCGGGGACAGCTGTGGCCTGACCTTTATCAGATGGGCTAAACCACAGTACTGCATCTTCTGTGACATTTGAGGGAGAAGGCACAGAGCTGGAGATCTACGATCATTAGCATAATGACTTTTAAATTACAATAATAATGAAGGTCCTTTAACAAGCCTGAAGTAAAAATCCCAAGTTTATTGCAGCACAAAGGATCTTGAGCTCTATCTTAATTTGTACTTGCTGATAGTCAATAACCTCACCGAATGCCACTGGAGATTAGAAGCCAAAGAAACGCAAAAGGTGCTACTTGAGCTTGTGTGCCCTCAGAAATGCTTGGGTGTCTACCCCTCACCGCAGAAACCAGCTCTCCTGAGGAGCACTACCTTCCCAAAACTGTATGCTATTCCATCACATTTTACATTTATCAGGACTTCTTGGAAGCTGTAGCATATACAGTCAGGCTGGGTTTTGTCTGCACTGGTGAATGAGGCTGGGTTCCCAGAGGACTTTGCACACACATCTATTGTATCCCAGCGAGCTGTCGCGGATGATATGTGGGACTACTGGTGGCAGCACAGCCAAGCAGGTGCCAGCAGCGTTTGCAATGTGATACCCAGACAAACTTGTGCAACATTTGTGCAAAGCTGAGGCCAGGACCAGCCTTCCCCCCCAGCACTGGCAGGGATCACAGTGTAATGTTTAACAGGCACACACAATGTGACTTGAACAACGCTTAACCCATTTTTTGACCAAATAAATCCAAATGTAACATTATTGTGAACATCACTGAGGAAAAAAAGGAATAGTTTTTAACGATTCTGTCAATGTAAGCCATATATTTATTAGTAACGCTAAGAAACCACAGACCGACTGACCACCTGTTTCACGAGTCTTGAGTAAAATCCTGCCCTTCTGGAAAGCCAGGGCAGAGTTTCAGGAGGGTCCAGATTTCACCCCAGTTACAACAACATAAACCTAACAATATTGTGCAGGCAAGGAAATACAAGGCCAAGTTCTGCCTTTCTGTAGAAAAGTCTTGAAGGTACAACGGAAAAAGAAGGATGTGTCTTTTTAAGGGACCCCTGGAGCACATCTGGGTTAGTTTCTTTCCAAAGGGATCCGGTTTGTTCACTCAGAGGGCTCCATGCAACAGGTACAGGCAGAGGGGCACCCAGCAAGATTCACTTCAAAAGAGACTCACTTCAAAAGCTCGCTGCCATCCAGAGCAAAATGCTAATAGCCACACCACCCACATTCCTCCCTCCTCCGCTCGGGTGGGTTCCTGACAGGCTGCAGGGGCACAGCCCAGCAGCTGCGGTGGCACCGGGGCAAAGGCAGAGCCACGCACACGCCGAGCCTGCCCATGGCTGCTCACCACCCCACACATGTAGATGTCCACAGCTTCTGAGGACATCTACACCGTTACAGGAAGTTTTAAATGTACAGTGTGCCACTCTCGGGTTTTACGAAAGCCACGATCTCCATTTGCGCGGTCTTCACGATTCTTAAAGTTTTGTTTACATGCAGAAGGGCAAAATTAACGTGCTTACTTGAATAATCCCCAAGTCAAATGAGACAATGCTGGTTTTAGCCAAGTATCAAAGCCTCAAAGGAATTCAGCTGAGCAGCGCAGCTCCTCACCAGCATCAACGGAGCAGCACAGCTCCTCACTAACATCAACGGAGCAGCGCAGCTCCTCACTAGCACTGCACTCGCTGACACGCCTGCACAGCACAACACATCGCTAGGTGGAAACAAGATTTTTATAGCAGCAGCATTACTTCCGACTCATATATAAATCAAATTCCACGACTTCATAAGGAGCTTCAATCCCTCCCTGCCCTGAAGAGCAGCTGTGAGTAGGGCAGGACTTTGTGTTTGTCTGGGCTGAGAGGTTAATGGCTACTCCACAGACACCTTTTTCCAGTTAATTGGCAGGTCATTTTAGCAGATGATTTGCAGGTTATTTTGCAACCCGGAGATGACTTGGTGGAGTACTCCTGTCTGAGCTTCTTCTCTGCCTTTTTTTTTTTTTTCAAAGGTTGCATCAGATAAACCAGAAAAAGCAGGCAGGTGAGACCTTCCTGGACTAAACACATGCTGCCAAGCAGCTAACTTCTCCAAATTAACATCAAAGGGAGGCCAGTGACTGTCAAAATTATTTTAAAATCCTACCCATAAAAAGCTTTAATCTTTCAAAAGTATCTCAAGACATGCAGTAGATATCCAGTTTTGATCAACATCACAGCAGAGTTTCAAAGTTCACACCTTCACCAAACATGAAAATGATGATGGAATGATAAAGCTCAGAGGTCTTCATTCCTACCGGAGATTTCATCCACTTAAACCATGTAAACAATTAGATTGAGAAAGGAATAGTTCATGTCACCTATTTTTCTGTTCTGAACACACTCTTCAGCTAGTCTAACAAAACAACTTTTCCAAGCTTCATGCTCCAAGATGCATTCTTATCTTCTGCTACCAGATAAAGAGCTACTGGTTCAGACAGACAGTGACCACGCAATCACCTGCACCTTAATCCAAATGTTTTTCTTTAAGGTCACAAGCCAATTGTCTGTTTTTTTCTGCAAGTCCTCAGGGGACATGGAAACGGTATTAGCTGCCCCCCAGCATTTTGGAAGAACCAGGAGTGGCTTGTCAGGTGACACACCACAGTAAACTCGGTGAGCTCAGTTAGCGTCACTTTCATTTTCCTGAAGCAAAGAGGACCTCAGGCCTGCAAACACAAGGGACAGCATGGCTCGCTCCTCCCAGGCCATGCCACACACCACAACTGCTTACAGTAAAACAAATGCTGCCGGGATTACACCACAGTCTGATAACTCCTTTTTATATTACAACAATCCGAAAAGAAGCATTTCCCAATATTTTTTTGCAAAAGAATACAAATATTAGTTTTAGGGTTGCAGAGAGGCAGCAAAGAATGTACCTGGTTAAACCTTTTAAAGTCAACAGAAGTATGGGATCAGGTCCACAGTAAACTTTACAGAGTGGCACCTGCAGAGGGAATTACTCACTGCATGACTGATGCCACAATTAGAGGCATAAAAAGTAATTCCACGATAAACAAGCAACCGAGCAGAAAAAGAACAATATGCTAGGAGCATGCACGTGCTCATATGGAAGTATATATTGGATGATATCGAACAGTCTTCACACACATGCGGAGACACAAATTCTCCGAGGAAGTTAATGGTACATTACCCCTCCCTCTTGCCTCCTCCTGCTCCCCACAACAGCCCTCATTCTGGGGCTGTGTTTGGCCAGTATCTGCCCCCAGCGCTACTAAAGCGACTCCAGCCCAATAGCCGCGTTACACAGCTACTACACAACCGCTACACAGCCGTAACTCATGGCTTTCGGAGTTGCCATTTCCCACAGGAACACACGCCAGCAATGCGAACCAGCGCAGCTCTGCCAGCGTCACATCTACTTGGGCCACACCAGTGGAGAACTGGTCTAAGGATCTACCAGCCAAACCTCCCAGGATACAGAAGAGAATAAACATGTTTTGTTGCTAAAAAAGCAGAGATACCAGATCTCAACTTAACTTTTTTTTTTTTTGAGAAAAAAAAAAGAGGGAGGGGAAATGGCATTACAGATACACGCGCATTCCCTACATCTTTGCAAGTTACATCATTTATGCAAGTTACCTTTATGCAACCACATCAGAAAAGCTTCAGCCAAGGTACCACCTCAACTGAGGGAATATATACCCCTTCCACGCACACTCGTATTTATTTACTCTTGTGATCCACATTTACTAAACAACTTCAACGCACCACTTCAATCCACAGCACGTGGGCTTGATACATTTTTGTGGTTCCTCTCCAAAAATTTCACAGAGAAATTGCTGCCTCGGGAAACTGAAAGCTGCATGCTAAACTGCAAGTGGGTTATTGCTGCCCGTGCCCCCGTACTGGCCTGACAAGCAGAATGACGCGCTTTATGAACCTCGAACACTTGCTTACCTGAGACCGACACTTTCATAAGGGCTTCCAGGGGCCTGTTGTTGTCCAGATCACGACTGAGTTTGAGTTCCCCAGTGGCAGAGTCCAAAAGGAGCAAGTTCAATTCATTGCCTTGCACAAAAGTGTAGGCCAGGCTGTCGGACACATCAGGATCATGAGCTGGGATCTTGCCAATCACACCAGAGGGGAAGCTGTTGGACTTGTTGGTCACGTAGTTATTGAAGAGGATCTGGAAGTCCTGCAGCACGGGTGGGTTATCATTCTGGTCCAGGAGGCGGATGTGCACTGTTGCCCGGCTGACAAGAGGAGCTGAGGTGGCCTGCACCACGATCACATACTCCGTCCGGCTCTCATAATCCAGGTCCATTAGGGCTGTGAGGTCTCCATTGAGCAAGTCTAGTTGGAAGACCTCAGGGATGTTCCCCTCTACGATCTGGTACATGATCTGTGCATTGGTCCCCTCGTCAGGGTCAGCTGCACTGATCCGTGCCACGATAGAGCCCACAGGGCTGTTCTCCTCCACAAAGATGTCAAATTCATCCTTCTCAAAGACAGGGGGGTTGTCGTTGATGTCCAGCACAGTCACTTGGATATCCACAGAGGCTTTCAGTGGTGGGCTTCCCCTGTCCACAGCGAAGGCCCGCAGGCTGTAGACAGCCACGTTCTCACGGTCCAGCTTGCGTAGCGTGCGTATCACTCCAGAAGTGGGTTCAATATAGAAGTCTCCATCTCCATCGTCACCACCTTGGAATGTGTAGAGGAGACGGCCGTTGAGGCCCGAGTCACGGTCGGTGGCAGACAGCTGCAGGACGCTGGTGGAGAGCGGCACATCCTCGAACACCGAACCCTGGTAGCGGTCGCGCAGGAAGCGGGGCGCATTGTCATTGGCATCCAGGATGAGGATCTCGACATAGGTGGTGTCTGATTTCTGGGGGATGCCGTTGTCGTGGGCTGTAATAGCCAACGTGTAGGAGGCCTGGTCCTCGTAGTCCAGCTCCATTAGGGTGGTGATGGTGCCTGTGTCAGGGTCGATGCGAAACTGGGGGATGTTATCGTCCAAAATGTAAGTGATTCTCGCATTGTCACCTGTGTCTTCATCGGTGGCACTGATGGTGACAATAGAGGTGCCGATGGGCTTGTCCTCGCTGACGCTCACTGTGTAGTGGGAACTCTGGAAGACCGGGCGGTGTGTGTTGGCATCCGTGACGTTGATGAAGACCTGGACGGTGTCAAAGCGAGTGCCGTCAGAGGCAGTGACCGTGAGGACGTACTGCCTTTCCTGCTTGTAATCTAAGGGCAAAGCCAGCGTGATCAGCCCCCCTCCGCTCTGACTGGTGATGGCAAAACGGTTCCTGGTGTTGCCACTGGTGATCTGGTAAGTCACAACACTGTTAACGTCCCTGTCCACTGCTGTTAGGGTCAGGACACTGCTGCCCACAGCCGCGTCCTCATTCAATCTGAGGTGGTACACCTTCTCCGTGAAGGTGGGGTTGTTGTCATTCACATCCAGGACAGTGATGGACACGCTGGCTGAGGAGGTCATGACCGGCATGCCATGGTCCCTGGCCTCCACCCCAAAGTGATAGTTCTCAACAGTCTCTCGGTCCAGCTCTGCAGCCACTGTGATCCACCCCGTGCTGTTGTTGATCTGAAAAGGGAACCCAGAGTCACTTGCTACAGGGGCACCTCCAGCAGACGGTGCCATCTCTATAAGTTTGTATTCCAGGCGGGCGTTGTCCCCGGAGTCAGCATCCACAGCCTGGATGTGCAGCACTGAGTAGCCCAGAGGAACGTTCTCCAGCACTGTGGCTTGGAAGGGAGTGCTCACAAAGATGGGGGCATTGTCATTCACATCCACAACCTGCACCGACACCATGCCACTGGAGTTGATCAAGGGAGGCCTGCCCCCATCCTGGGCTTTGATCCGGAGTGTGTACTCCCGAATAGTCTCATAATCCAGAGGGTTGATGAGGTCAATGGCACCGGAAAAAGAGTGGATGTAGAACTGGCCTTTCAGGTTGCCACTCACAATGCTGTAGTGCACCTGGGCATTGCTGCCCCGGTCCCGATCCGTGGCCTGCACCTGCAGTATCTGGCTGTTCACTGGGGCATCCTCTGGCACCTGGACCAGGTAGCGCTTCTCACTGAACTGAGGGTAGTTGTCGTTCTCATCCTCTACAGTGATGTGCACCATAGCTGTGGCGCTGCGTGGTCCTGGATCCTTGCCCTGGTCGTTGGCTTCCACCACCAGGTGGTACTCGGAGACCTCCTCGCGGTCTACCGGCGCCCGGGTCCTCACAACCCCGGAGCGCGGGTCAATCTCAAAGACCCCGTCACCAGCTCCTGGCTCCAGCAAGCGGTAAAGCATGTTGGCGTTGGCTGGGGCATCGCCGTCGGTGGCGCGGATGGTC